ATCATATACAACACAAATACTAAAGAATTTTCATAGAAAAAAATATTATGATAGCTATAAAAATCTTTTTTTAAATCTCAAAATCTTCATTGATATTAAGATCTTTTAATTGGTTATAGTTGACCCCATATAGTTTTGAGCAAAAATCACTGCCTTTACCATTTGTGCATTTAAAGAGCTTCTAAAAGCATCTAACACCCTAACCTCAGTACATAATACACTTTCTAAAGCAATAGTGGAATTTGGGGTGGCTTGAACATCTTTAACCATTTTTAATAGTATGGGAAACATTGAAGAGTTTTGTTTTCACCAAAGAATAATTTCAAAATATATTGTCAAGATCTATAAAAATTTCGTTCAAATACCTTTCAAGTTCATTTTTAACAATATAATTTTCCCCCCTTAAGTGCTTCTTAAAAGCACCTTTCCTAGCCAATATGATGAATCTTCAACAAAGATGAATGTTTCATTATAAAAAGTACAAAATGTTAAACCATGAGAGGATTGTTCAAATTTATTCTCTTTCTCACAATCTATCTTAAACCAATTATACATTTGAAATAAATTTTCTTTCAAAGAAGTGGACAAATTATCAACAAAATTTGCATCAACTAAATACATTTTTTTAAATGACCAATCCATAAATTGTAATTTTTAACCAGGTCAAAGATGTGACACCCTCTACCCCAACATACATATACAGTAATCATGCTCCTCCTGGTCATCATCAATAGGAACATCTAATCCACCTCTAAGTTGTTGATGATCAACATCATCATGTTGTTCACCAGGTTGAACACTACCATCAACATTATCCAGATTGTGAATAGGTAACTGCATAGGATCAACATTAGTCAGATTCCTATCTTTCTCGGGTGTAGTCTTTTCCACCTTATCGATGTCTTCAATGGTTTGGTCTTCCATGAACTGTACATCACAACTTTTAACAAGCTTTTTCTCAACAGGATCATAAAACTTATAGCCAAATTCATCCTCACCATAACTAATGAAGATGCACTGCCTTGTCTTTGCATCCAACTTGGATCTTTCATCCCTTGGAATATGGACAAATGCCTTGCAACCGAAGACACGTAAATGATCATAGCTTGCATTCTTGCCAAACCAAATTTTTTCTGGCACCTCACTGTTAAGAATAATAGTAGGAGTGAGATTAATAACATGCACCGCCGTGTATAATGCCTCACCCCAGAAATGCTTGGGTAATTTAGCATCTGAGAGCATACATCTCACCCTCTCAAGCAATGTCCTGTTCATCCTCTATGCTAAACCATTCAACTATTAATATTGAGTATATAAATGTTTTAGTAACAAAAAAACACAATACTTATACAAACTTAGAAAATGTATGATATTAAAATATATATTAATTTTTTTGTTAACATTAAAGGGTTTAGTGACAATAAAGCATAAAATGTAATCCCTAAACTAAGAACCCCAAACCATAAACCATAAATTGTACACACTAATTTTATTTTATAGCTTTTATAGTTTCACTTATTTAGTTATAATTTAGAATAAATTAAAAAGGTAGTTATTTGTATTTTATATACGTATATTATTCAATATATTTAATTATGAATATTTAATATACATGTTTTAGTGAAAAAATATATATAAAAATACTATTTATAAGTACATATAAAATGTTTTATATTGCTTTCTTTTGTAGTAAATTTATATGAATCAATGTACATGTTTGAGTTTCAAGTGTAGTGAAAAAGTATGACTACGCACATCTACAATGACAGTTGCTTATAAGTAACTTTCATGTATTTTAAATGGTTCGAACTGTGCCTCATGACTTAGAAGCAATTCATACTATATTTTGACAATTTTTTGTGAAATTAAAATTGGTTATAAGCACGTTCACTTTTTTATAACGCATAGTACGATTTTTGACAACTGACCCTAGACTTTATGATAAATTTTTATAAAATTCATTATTATGGATAATAAATTTTAAACTTTATACTAATTAACCACCTGCAGTCATTGGTGTTTGAAAATTTGATAATACTTATTTATTAAAAATTATAAATTAATTTTATGAATTTAGAAAAAAAGTTGAATTTTTAAAATTAACACTGAAATACAAACTTCTCATGCACTATTGATGACTTCCTAAGGCAACATACGATAATTATACCAATATTTAATAATAATTTTGCAGCAAATGAAAACTTAACAATCAAAATAAAACATTAAATTACAGTCATCCACATTAAAAAACAACATAGACTTAAAATACAATAATGTTATCATCATTAAGTCATATATCCTTTTCAATGACCTGAAAGAAACATGGAACAAACAATTAGTAAATAATAATAATTGGTTTATATGCAATATTAAAATGTTATTAAATTATATTTGAGTGTCTATACTCACCCGTTGCACATTATTTTTTGTTATGTTCAAAAAGTATGGACCACAGATATGGGCTGGGGCAAAGACGACAATCTGAAGAAAAGTTAAACTAAATGAATTGAACAGTTAAGTAAAATTTGATATATTTTGTTATAGTACAAATATTACCTGCTTCAAAACTAACACACAACCAACAACAATGTGTTGCCCGTATTGTGGCAGATAACTCCAAAATATAGTAATTGATTGATGTTATTTATATTACCTCAATATTTATCATACTTTTTCTTTATATCTAAACTCATTATGGTCAAAATAGTGATGAGGTTCATAATTAATTGCTTAAGTTCAAAATAAATGGATGAGAGTTGATGAAATGCAATATGTAAGGTGATATTCATCCATTTTTTTTCCTTGGATTCACCTTTAGGAACTATTTTGAAATGTTCCCAAACTATATAAGTTTTTTGTGAACCACTTGCATTTGATTTTCTCTTTTTTTATTAATTGAGAAAGAAACATTAGGGTCAGTTCCTACAACTTTAGTTGTAGCTGCTAGTTCAGTCATGGTGGAATTTACAATCTTTTCAAATTAACTAGACCGCTCCATTACTATTATAATGAAGAAATCATAGGTAATCTTTAAGTGTTTATAATATTTTAACAAATTTTAATTTATTATTTAATAACAGTTATATATTTTAATTCATCATTTAAAGTTTCATAGAAAATCAGCAAAAAAAAATGCAAAAAATATAGAGATAAACTAATGTAAATAATTACAAGATATTTACTTTTAACTAACTAAATGAAACATATTTATAACTAAATAAGTGGAACACAAATAGCTAGTATAAGAATTTGCAAAACAAAAAACAAATCAATAATAAAAAAATAATCATATGAGGTTAAACAATAAGAACCCGAATCCTTTGAAATTTAAGGTTTTTGCCTTCATTTTTTATATATATTTTTCTTCCTTTTATTCTTTCTTCCACCTCTCCTGCATTCATCCAAAGTACACATCTAGTGCAAATTTGCAAACAAAAAAAATTATTTTATATATAGAAATTAGGACTCAAAACTCATAAATCTTATTATGGGCAACATTGTAATCATTCTTAAAAGATGTAAAAAAGAAAAAGAAAAAACAAACATACAGAAGGGGTTCACCACTAAAATACTCACTAATAAGACAAAGTCAAAAAATATTAGTGTTTATATGTTATTCTCGAAAAGAACCTCAAGACAGAGACATATATTAGGCAAGTTATCTCAACATTAGTGGGTAGTTAACCACTAATTTCTTTGTCAAAGTCCAAAATCACATACTATATATTTCTAATAAAAAAATATTGTCTTTGTAAGTCTTTATAATGCGCTTACGACAGAGAAACAACCACATGCAAACTTCAAAAAGACAATAATAGATATGAAGGCTCATATAATTAGATGTATGTTTACAAAATAAGATGATTTCACCTTATCAAGTTTTCACCTCCGACCTCGAGGTTGACCCAAACAATCGCAACCTTGACCTTGTGCTCGAACTAAAAAGTCATAGCCTCCAACACCTTTTGCTCAAATCAATCAATCACAACATTGAACTTCAGCCTTGGAGAAGTGGAGTTTTGTGTTAGGAACCAAATCTCTTGTCGCTACAGTTATGAAATAGAAGGAGATGAGGTTTTGGATTTGGAAACATAATCTCCCATTGTGCTAGGTTTACGCAGTGGAAGGAGACAGGTTGACTTTATTTAGGAACTTGGTCTTTGTGCTAAGGTTTCGAGAAAGGGAAGGAGAATAGTGTGTTTGAAAACTTAAAACTCTGCAATGCTAGGTACAAACTAAGTAACAATTCCTTTTATATGTAGGGTTTTTAATAATTAAGTGTCGGTCGTGTTTGGGTATCAACGGTTAAAGAAATTTAACATCCAACTAAGTCCATTTGTCATACATTTTTGGTTGCGAGTAACTTCAAATTCTGACAAGGCGGAATTTTTTAATCAGACTTAAGAGACACACTATTCTTAATGAGAGAGGACAATTTTAGAGTTTGATTCACATATGATGATTTTATAACCACTAAACCAAGTTAAGATCATAGCATAAAAAATTACCAAAAGTTCTTCATAAAATACTGGAAGAGTTTATAAAACCTAAAAAGACCAAAGTAGTAATTTAAATATGTGTATAAAAAAATATTATTAATAAAAATACTTTAAAATATATTTTGTATTTTTTCTTGTAAATAATATGCTTATACTTTCTATCATAAAAAGTGAATAACAATAATTTAAAAATTTTACACACAAGACCACACAAATACAATACAAGTTATTTAAAAAATATTTTTTAATAAAATTATTTTCCTCAATATCTCATTATATATATATATTAAATATAATAATTTAATCAAGAACTGAAACCAACTCAATTAAACTTGCCATTATGCATGAATGTTGTAAACCCGTTTCTTACATGTGTTTAATTTTCGTAAATTAAAAAAAAAAGACTCCTCTTTATAATTTATATAATCTGCTCAATCCTTACACAGAACATGTAATTTATTTATCTTTAATTTTTTTAATGAGCAAATTGGAACCGGGCCCAATTTTTTTTTTTCCAGGGCCCATATCTACGAACCCAAAGGACGACGAACTGAAACTTGAGGAGGAAGAAGACCTTCTTCTTGTGTCTGATCGAAGAAACCAGCAATGGATTCGTGTTCGTGATTTGAGCCACGCCACGCTTACTTTGATTTCAATCATCACACTCTTCGCCTCTCACTTTTCTCCCTAAGGGTTCCCCACAATGATGTCCCCGAACCGCGTCTCAGAGGATCGGGGCTCCCCACCTCATAATTTCAGGTAAATTTTCCACCTTTTCCAAAAATACAGTGATAATCGATTCTGGGTATGGCCCATTTCTTTTGTTTTTTTTTTAATATCTTTGAACGGTTTAATTTCTGAGGCTATCTGTTCGCTGTTCAATTGGGACTGTGGTTAGGTGCATTGAGGTGTGGCAATGCTTTTGCTGTTTCCTAATGTTTTAGTTGTTTTAGGAACTGGGTCTCATATTTTGGATAGTTTTTGCAAGCAATGTTTACTCTGTTTTGAAGTGTTTATTTGTGTGGAGGGAAACTTTGAAGTTAATGTGAGTGCAAATGCAATGCTCTTAAAGGTTGCTATTTAATCTATAGCTTGTTAAGTGTGTGTTGGTTAAGCTTATTTTGAAGAAATTATCGGTTTATTTTCAGTAGCTTTCTAGGATAATTAATCTATAGCTTGTTAAGTGTGTGTTGGTGCAGGTTATTTTGAAGAAATAATAGTTTATATTCATTAGCTTTCTAGGAGAACATTTTGAAAACAATCTCTTACTAAGCATGCATTGAGACTCTGTTTGGAAAAACTTAATAAGTATTTATAGGAGAAGAAAATAAGAAGGTAAAATGAATTGAACTTTTTCTCATGAGTTAAAATTAGTTTATACATAAACTAATAAGCTAATTTATTGAAGCGCTCTGATTTGGCTTCTCCAAAAGCTGATTTAAACTTATGGAAGAGGCTTAATTCATTTTACCTTCTTATTTTTTTTCTATAAGTTATTATTGAAAAGCTTATCCAAATAGAGCCTAGATAGTATTTTAAATTTATTCCATTGTCACGTGATAAAAGAACCAATATATAACTTGTTTTTGTGTTTACCTTTTTGTTTAAGCTTTTGAGATAGTTATGATATGGTGTTGGAGCCTTTAGGATCAAGTGTTCTAGACTTCTAGTGTTTGATCCTTGTTGTCTCTATTCTTCTAATAAAAATTTGAATTTCAGCACAATCCTTAAGGTTGCCTGTGGGCATTATTCAAGCTTTGAGCACAACTGCACAAGAGCACAAAGGGCTCTTGCATGAGTGGTCATGATAGAGACCATTCACGTATCTACCATACAACTCAAATTTTTGGGATAGTTGGTTCATGATAGCATGTATGTGGTTATCATATATTGCTGTTCCCATGTTGTGGCATTCTGCTTTTTATACCTAAGAATTTCTCAGTTACATCATACTATATTGTAATGATTAGTGATTGCTTCCTCTATTAGATATTTATATAAAGGGTTGTGTATTCAAAGTTTTAACTTCATTCATCCTTATTGTGCTGATTTTATGTTTCAATTTGTAGACACACACCCTTGCAGATAATTCATATTGTTGCAAATTTCATGAGAATATGGTCAATATATTCCATGTACCGCTACTTCTTGCAGACCGGTGCTTCTGTTGTTCTTTTCCTGTTTGCCTGCCTGGCCCCAGCATCCGTCCTATTTTTGATTTTGCAAAAGCCTTGGAAGGGCAGACCTCTTTCAAATACGCAGGTGAATTTAATTTCTACTTTCTGCAGAGAGTACTAAGAAGAAAGCAATAACTTTGATGTAAATGTTATCATGAATAGACATTCCTTAGTAGTACCATATATGTTATCAATAATACACATTTCTTAATAGTACCATTTGTCTTTTCAGGTTGTCCCTTCTATAATAAATGGTGGTATAACAGCACTGTATCTGGTCTTGTGGGGAAAGGGACTGAAATCATGTGGACCAGTTAGGTTGGTTTTTATATTGTCACAGAAATTTTCAGTTGATAGCTTTGATGTGTCAAGTTCCCAGTCTTAATTATATTATAGTTTTTAGTTATGTGGCATCATTGCTGATGCTCAGTTGCATAAATCCCCAATTTCCAATTTGTAGTAGTCCTTGAATCATCGATGTGCCATCCTACCTTTACTATTTCTTGATCATGTTTGTATTAATGTGTTGAATTGAATGGTGCTTTGATTTTAATGAGAACTTTATTTTCATTGCTATATGAACTCAATGCAGTGATTGTTTTTCTTATTAATTTAGAGCAATATTGGCCGAGTATTCTGGTGCTGTCCTTGGAGTACTGTCTGCAGTATTATATGGTAGAAGAAGCCATATGTGGAAAAAGGTAACCCTTTTCAGATACTCACATTGTTAGGTATACTATACAAGTTACACCATGAAACCATGTGCTCAAATCAATTTAAACACCTATTCTATGAGAAATAACATTTTTGCAATATTTCTACTTTTGTATTTATCTTTATTGATAAGTCTCTTCTGAAGTTGTAACTATTTCCTGCATAGTTTTACCTTGTCCAATCAAGATCAAATTTTCTTTCCCCTTTACTTAAGCCCATTCTTTACTCTGTATCTGGTCGTAGCTGTTTTGGAGAATTGCCTAACCTCCACTAGTTGTACTTTCTGTCTGTCTCTAATAGAAAACAACATTACTTTGTATTAAAAAAACTATATAAAGTTGTTAAGCCTTCTTTGATAAAATAAAAAATTAAGTTAAGTTATCAATCTTGGATAGCAATGTGTAGTGACCAACTTTGTAAATGCTATAGAATAATAGCAAAAAGCAAGATGACTGCTATTTTAAATATTATTACACAACTAAATAGTTTATACTGCAGGTTCTTAAAATAAAACCAAATTTAAATAAATTCATGATAAAAATATAGTTGACACACACAATCACTGTCAATCTTGGAGCAATAAGAACATAGTAATGAGGTAAAAAAATATAATCTGTTTAAATGAAGAAGAAAGAACAGAACACAAGAAAAAAAAATAGAGGTCAAAACAGGGGTAACATTTTGTGGAATAGTCTAAGATGGGGGGTTTCAACTTTCAGCTACTATTATGTTTCTCAAGCAAAAAATGCATTAGAAAATGGGGGAAGAAATCACAATTATACTCCAAATAAAAGCGGTAAAATGCATTTTTTGATGTCTTATTCATGGTACTGCAGCCATGGTTGTCAATCTCTAGTGATAACTTGTAAACTCGTACGAGTTTACGAGATTAGGACAGCCTACCTGTATAACTCGGAGGTAAACTCGTTTTTGAGTAATCTCGGAGTAATCTCGGTAATCTCGGAGTAATCTCGGTAATCTCGCGAGATCACGTCCGAGTTTAAGAGATCACGCTTTTTTTTTTCATTTACACAAAACGTGCGTTTTGTGTTAGCGTTTAGGAGCTCTCATTTAGTCTCTGAACACATCTCCTTCTCCGTGTCGCCTCCTCCGTGCTTCTCCTCTCCTCCCCGCGCGCCTCCTCTCCCCGCGAGCCTCCTCTCCCTGCGCCTATTCTCCCCCGCGCACCTCCTCTCCCTCGTGCGCCTCCTCTCGTCCGCCCACCTCTGTTGTTCTTCTCACCCGGGCGCCTCTGTGTTCTTCTCCTCCGCGCGAACCAACTCTTGATGTCTTAGTTTTTTTTTTGTCTATTTTTAAGAACTTGTGTTTTGTCATTTGTGTGAACTTTTGTTAAGAACTTGTGTTAAGAACATTTATTATTAATGTAATTTACTATTTACTCTTTAATATGGAGTTAAAATGTTCAATTATTATGTTATTTTTAATTAATTAATTATTTATTTTTTATTGAGTAATTTCTTACGAGTTTACGATACGAGTTTACGGAACCTCCACGAGATTACGTAAACTCTCGAGATTGACAACCTTGACTGCAGCTATAGCATGTGAGATGCTGCTATTGTGACTGCACCGCTGTTTGAATTAACTAATAACTACTAGTGAAAACCATTCCGCTATTTGAATTGAATCCCATAGCAGCCTAGGTTTCTATGCTCCATTAATCCACTATATTAACAAAGAACTACTATGGTTTAAGCCCAGGTTGCGCTATGATGTATGAAATAATGTAATTTGCATTGTTGGTTGTGATTGATGTGTTTGAAAGATAAGTTTAGGAACTTTTCTAGTCTAATGGATACTTTCTTATCTTGAATCAGATAGGTGGCCTAATTGCCATGTTGGCATCCTTATACTTGTTATCAGAAGGATGGGCTACAGCTACATATTCTCCATTCTATATCCTCACTCAGACCGTGTTGTTTTCTTTCCTAAATTGACCAAGTTTACTGCTAAAATATCTTTTGCTCAATGTATTATTTTTCTTGTTTGTCAATTTTTTCATACTTATTATCTTTTCCATAATTGTTGTAAACTTAACTGGAATTTACCATGGGAAGATAGAGATGATTCTGAGGCTCAGATTCAGACTGAACCAGGTTTGGGCTTGAAGCAAATGTTAGTCCCTATAATTGCTGGTATTCTATCTGCACTCAGGAGAGTGATTGCAAGACGTGTTTCAATCAAGGTGGTAACCTTTATGTAATTTGCACTTCTTACTTTCTCTTTGGTGAGACTTTCTGTATATCTGTAACCCGGAACATTTTATGCTTTCAGAATCAACTTAAAAGGCGGCTCCATGCTTTAACTATTGCTTCTGCGACATGTTTTATGTTTCCCATTGCCATGTGGGACATGATCATAGTGAGTTCTATGTCATTTTCACTTTTAGATCTAAATTAGATAGGGTTATGTCTTGGTGGAATTCTTCTTATATTGTTTTGTGGTTTTGGCTTGATTGACATTTGACAATTTTCATAACCCTCTTATCCCCCTTCTTTTGGGTCCTTCAGGGATCGCCATCTGAATCTGATAGCAATCAGAAGTTGCCGTTCTCTGCTTGGGCTTTCTTGAGCACTATTCTGTTTGGAAATATTGTGATATTCTATGCTGACAGTATTGCAGAGGAGAGGTATGCCATGAATGCCGATAGTCTTGCCAAGGTGTTTATGCCTTTTAAAATTAGGTTTCGTATGCTCTTTTGGTTTTTGTACAAGGTTTTATAAAATAACTATTAACTAGTAGCATTCCAGCAGTAAGATTCTAATGATTCTCATTGGAAAGTATTATTCAATTTTCAGTATTATGAAATTATTATCCCTTGTCTAGAAATTAATTATTTGACTTCTATCCGACTTCATCTAATGTATTTGAAAGAAATTGGGTAAAAATTAGGTCAAATTTAATTATTTAAATCCAAATTGATCAGGTAACTTCTGTTTGGTTTAAGATTTATAATGCATGGGATTTGGAACTATTTGTTGTTGTGTAGCAGTTTAAAATTCATACTTTTCTTTTTTGCAGATTGCACATGGTTTTCTCCTCACCAAGGCATTTAGCAGCAGCTGGTGCGTGCATCATCACAATGGAGATTGTGTACAAGATGGATTTTTCTCTCACAGGATTCATGATTTGCTGTTTAATATTAGGTTTTGGTATGTTTAGCAGTTAGTTTTGAATATTAATATTCTATTTACATTTTATTTTTCATGGATTGTTTGTAGAACTGAACTAGTAGCTGATAATTCTTTGTCATGCCTTTTCGAAGTTTTTTCACTAGGTTTGCAATTTAATTTGCAGGGAAATATGTTAAAAACAACTACTTAATTACAGTAACTAGTTATTAAATACTAATATACTATGTTTTACTTTATAGTTTTTGGTTTCTAGTTCTCTCACTTTTAGTAAAATTATTTGATGATGCAAAATGCTCATAAGTCACATATGACATAGCTGTGTTTTTAGCACACTTTTTGATGTTCTGTCTATGACTGTTTCAAGGGTGTTTCAATCTCTAACTTGTTGATAACCTGTTGCATTCTTTGTTTTTATCTTTCTATTTTCTCCTATTGTTTTTTCCTAGTTTTAGTCTTTTAGAGGAAACATTATCCATTCCCTCATTGTACTTATTCTATCTTTCTCTTCTCTTTAATAAAATATTTTTCTATTAAGAAACATAATGACAAAATTAATAAATGTTAGCTTTCTCAAGGTGTTTTTCTTACAAAGTTCATTCAAAAAGAAAAGAGTGAAGTCATATAAAAGCAACGTTTAAGGGTTTGTTTGATTTCTATGTTCAAAAACTGGTTTAGTTAAAAAAACAACAAAGAAAATAATCACCCATATCCAGCTTCTGCCTCACCACATGCATTACCGTTCCTGATGCTCCATATTCTTGAGCCAGGACTACAAAACAGAAAATGAGAATGAGAAAACATCTCCTAGCTTTTGGAAACAATTTTCAAAACTTAATAGATTTTGGACAAGAAATAGATTGCTGAATAGCATGGAATTATTTTAGAAAACAGTTTTTGAAAATTGAAACCAAAATGTAAAAAGGAAATCAAACATACCCAAACTTTTTTTTTAATGATACTTGGCTTCTCAGAGTCTATATACATTGGTTTCATTCCCTGGATTTTTTTTAATGACATTCATTTTCTTGAAAAAGGTTAAATGTGTTTCTAAACTCTGTTTATTGGACTTCACTGTTTTTTATTGCCTTTTCATAATATTAATAACTTGATTTTTAAGGAGTCTCAAAAATTTAAAATCACTACTGGTCAACTACATTTTCCTATCTTCTAGAATTGAGTACATATTTTCAGAGTGAGCTATGATACATAATCAATGCTTTCTTGTTTCTGTTTTTCTTTTAGTAATTAATCTTAAATGCTCAATGTAATGGAATTGTGTAGGAATACATGAAGCAACTTCATTGGAGCGCAATAGAAAAGATTCTATCCGAAATTCAGATTTATCAAATGGAGAATTTGATAATCAAATCCAGATGTCACCACTACCTACTTGAAGTATGTGTATTTTATTCCTTAGACTTACTATGAAATGTGAATTTATTGCCAATTGTTTATTTGGTTCTTTTGTGTAAGTGGGTGTCTATGCATTCTGTTCAGTTCAATTGACACTTAGCATAGCAATTTTTAGGATGAGTATCATTATTTGTACCACTGATTTAAATATATATGTGGTGAGGCTGATTTCCAGTTTGTGCAATGTTTGTTTAAATATTTTGTAAGCAATAGACATATAAACATCTAAAAAAATTTAGGATGGGATTTGGCACCTTTGCTTGATGTTTTCCCTTTTATTTTGGAAGGATGGAGGATCCTTTAATCTTCAATTTCCCTGAAAATTTCTTCTCTCCGTCTTAATTCATTTATCAAGAAAAATGTAATTACAGCTGAAAAAGTGAAAAACCTTATTTTTTTTTTAATTAGTCAAATAGTATTGTTATATTTTAACTTACTGATCTCAGCTGTTGTCTATACTTCATCATCTATTGCAATTTCACAGGATATTACTTTCTTCCATGCTTAGTAATTTTTCATTGTCAATAGTATAGTTAATGAGGAGATAGTTTGAAAGATTTAGGGTTTCTCTTAAACTGCTAAATAATGTGTGAAATGAAGATAATAGTTAATCACATGCTTAATTGCTGATTGGTTTGCTTCTCTTCAGTCTGTTTGAAATGAGATAAAGCTTTTCTTGAATTGAAATCTGCTATTTATTGCTAATCAATTGCCATGTTGAGTTCTTGAAGGAACATATAGCTATGAATGCTGTTTGAAATGAATTCTTCCATCATATACAAACTGAACATATTTCCTAATTTGTAAAAAAATTGTGATAAACTATCTGCAAGAAAATGAAAATTAGGGAACATTGGATAAGCCAAACATATCCTTATAATTATATTTGTTGGGAACTTGGGATTACAAATATATTTTTATTTATTTTTATTTTTTTAATACAAGGTCATGGAAAGAGATTAAGTTTGTTCCCTTGTACACCTAATCCATTCAACATTATCTTTCTGCCTCTAGTATTATTGTAGGGAGTGCAATCACTTGATTTCCAGTACCCTTATTAAACATTTGGGTTAAACTCAATTACAAACACTAATGACTTAATTAACTTTAATGTTATCAATGGTCATGGTAGGGTGTTAGTGCAACCTATATGTTGTGAGAATTGGAAAACAAGTCGTGTAGTTTTGGTGATAGAAGTTGGAAGTATAGAAATTGAAAACTTGATTGGGTTAATAAATAATCAGCTTATGTAAGTTTTTAGCACCTATAAAATATGCATTTTTTTGTTGTGGTCCTTTGATTATTTTTTCTTCTTGTGTCAATATATATATATATATATATATATATTTTTTTTTTTTTTTT